ATCACCTGTCTCCCCCTTTTCACAGCCACCTGGGGCTTGGGGACGATGAAATGGGAAATATCGTGTGACCCCGGCCAGCATCCCCACGGAGAGCGGAGCAGCAGAGCTCTCCTCCCCGCCTCGAGGTTTTTCATCCCAAAGCAGGGGGAAAACCAGCAATTTAAGCAAAGTTACAGGCTAATTTTTATACAATCTATAATGTGCTTTCCGATCTGACAACGATCCCTGCAAACACCCCTCTGGAAGTGCTGAGCACCCCGGCCCCAATTAACCAGGCGGTTAAGGCTGTAGCCATCCAACCACATTCAATGTTCATCTGCCATTAATTAATTCCCGCCAGCTGGCAGCTACCTTTTTCCGCCGGCAGGGATGTGCCACAACCACCGGCATGGCAAAAGATGCACTCAGCATCGGGCTCCTTCCCCACAGCATCGGGATCAGCATCCCTGCCGGTACCACAGACCCAGAAATGGTCCCAGCCCAGCCCAGGAAATGCTGGGGTTCAGCATCCCCACATTTTCCCCCTCTCCGCTGCCGGGAACCGGTGTAGCGGAAAAGGCAAATCTCCGTGTGAAATTGGACACTGCCTGCGGTAATAACTTGTTTCTGTACCCACGGAGCTGGCAAAAGGGTTTATCTACCGCCGCCGGCTTTGAAGCGTGTTTGCATTCAAACAAACTCCTGCATTCAATACACTTTTAATATTAATGCTGCTGGAGCCCAAGATTCAAATGCATCTTTTTTTAATGGAATATCTTATTAGATTTGGAAATGGATGGATGGCGTCAAAATTGAGAGCTGGCTGAATATTAAGTCGGGAAGATAAATCTGCTGGGAGAACTGGGGTCCCCTCCTTGAGCTCGGTTGCTGTTTCTTGGACACCCGTATGCGAACCCAGCCGGATCACGGCTCCGTGGGGATTAATGTATTGGTTTTGGGGAGATGGGTCATGCTCTGATTCCTGTAACAGCTTGGATACCCCAGCCTGGCAGCACGTGGTGCCCGTTCCTGGGCTGGCTGAGCAGCCGCTGGCTGTGCCGATGGGAGGGTTCAGGTCTGGGGGCACACAGGATGATCGTGGGAGAAGTTGGGGTACCCCCATGCACCCATTGCTCCCGCTGCATCGAGCGGGAGTGAAGGGCTGGGGTCTGGCACCATGACCCCTCCAGCGAGTGCCCGGGGGCTCGCCGGGCGGGCGATGGGCTCTGCTGGCTGGAGGGGGCTGAACCACCCGGCTGAAACTGCAGCTGTGAAAACGGATATATTGGTGTCTGCAATTCCCCTAAATGACAGGCTTTAAGGGAGAGGTAATTCTCCCCTAATTCTCCTTCAATGCCCACTCTGGAGACAATGATAGGGTAATTTTACCCACTTTGTCCAGCCTGCAACACGAGGGCTGTTACGGGGGAAGAAGGGAGCCGAGTAATTTTACCCACTTTGTCCAGCCTGCAACACGAGGGCTGTTATGCAGGGAAGAAGAGAGCCGGCTCCTTTCCTCCGTTTCTTGCTGGCATTTTCCTGGGATGCTGCTGTGATCCGGGATGCTGCCATGACCTGGGATGCTGCAATGACCCAAGATGTTGTGATATCCCAGAATGTTGCAGCAACCTAGGATGCTGCATTTCCCTGGGATGCTTTGCTTTCCTAGGATGCTGCTGGGACCTGGGATGCTGCGGTGACCTGGGATGCTGCATGTCCCCAGGATACCGTGACAACCAGGATGCTGCGGTGACCCAGGATGCTACTGCATACTGAGATGTTGCATTTCCCTGGGTTGCTGCGGTGACCCGGGATGCTCTGGTGACCTGGGATGCTCTGGTGACTCGGGATGCTGCACTTTCCTGGGATTCAGCTGCAAACAGGGACGCTGCACTTCCCTGGGATGCTGCGGCAACTTGGGATGCTGCACCTCCCCAAGATGCTCCTGCAACCCAGGGTGCTACACGACCCGTGGGTGCCATCAGGGCAGGGGGAGGCAGGGAAATGGCCCATCCCAGCTCACCTCGCTGCTCTCCCCACCTCTCCGCAGTCGACTTCATCGGCGGGGGTGGGGGCGCCCGGCCACAACCACCCACAC